CTGCCATCGACTTTGTCTCCATCACATGAGGACCTGAGACCTTTCAGCACTGGAGATCCAAGGACTGCAAAGAAACCTTCCCAAAATGGGCTCGTGCTTCCTCCCTGCAAATTGCTTCTGCTGTTAGAAAAAAGTCTTAATGGCTCCTCAGGAAATTCTGAATACAAAAAGCTGAGAGTTGAGTTTCTCCCTCTCTGCTCTCACACCGAGGGTAATGCCCAAAAATCCTCAGAATTGGGTAGAGAGGCACAACCTGGGTCTGGAGAAGCCTCACACCATTCCAGAGCTGGCTGCTCCCAGCTATCAGCGAGGATAAAATGCTGGGCAGCAACATGGAAATTAGCCATGCTAATGAGCTGAATTTACTACAGCAGAAAATCTTTCAGAAAGCAATTAGGTTTTCACTTTGACTCACGCAGAAGGCTATTTTTGTAACCAAAGAATTCATTCCAAGTTTGTATATGAGCTTGCACATAGCTCTGGATTTAAAAAAAGATGAGCCCATCTCTGCCAAATTCAACAGAASAGAGAGAAAAAGTAAAAAGAGATTTATACTTTTCTGTGGTGATCCACACCCAAGCCAACTCCAGGTGATTTTGCTGTGCATGGGAAGGTGAATTTTACAATCCTTTGGAACTGCTGAGTGTGTCCAGCACYGTGATTCATGTTTGGATAAACAACTGGAAGCCTCAGCAAGTCATTTTTTCACCAAGCAATCCACACTTCCCAAACATCAGCTGTCACTTGCTTCCCCTTCGGCTGTCACCTTCTCCAGGAGAAACCCAAAGGACATGGGCAATATTGACAAGAAGCCATGGCAACCATCTCCAGAGGTACTGAGGAACTGCTGGCACTTTGTACTTACTGCAAACCAGCACTTTTCAGCTTTGATTTGCCTTAGTCAGGGGCTTCTCTTCATTAAAAGCTTCATCTTTTACTACAGCTCAGCTTCTCCTCCAGCGAAAAGAGAAGTGAAATCAAAAGTGAATCYTCTGCAATGAGTGATGAGGACAGGGAGAGTGTTCCCAGGAGCTGACAGTGTGTGACTGTCCCCACTTCCTCCACTGACGCAAATTCATCACAGAGGATTTTCCCCCTTTTTGTAGCCTCACACTGGCAAAGCCAGTACAGACCAATATTGCAAAATTCTGACTCCGTCACCCAGCACAAAATTCCAGTGTATAAGTAAATTCCTATTTCGTTAAGTTTTGCTATGGTTCACCAAACAAATGAATAAATCAGTTCACAGTTCTTGCAATTGTGCTGCACAGATATTTTTCCCTTTCAAGAACAGCTCCTGTGGTCAAGAACACTCAGCCAAAACTGTCTGAGACAATGGTGCTTGGAAGGGATGMAACCAGTGCTTGCTAAGATAACACCAGATATCAAAACCAAAAGACAAGACATGGTTTTGAGCACAAAACACGTACACCAGAGCTGCAGGACTGCCTGTTTCTCTGAAAGCTACTGACACACYCCAACAGTTCCACTATCACTTATAACTTGCTGGGAAACAAAGCACTCAGCAACACTAAAATCCAACTGCACGACTATTCCCAACATCTTTAATCCCAAAGTGAGCACAAAAGAGAAGCAGCASCACCTGTCAGTGAAACCCAAAGAAGAAACAAATGTTATGGAGGTTATTTTTCCATCGAGCTGGTCTCATTTATTCCCTTACTCCTCTTGTCAATGGAAAGTTTGTAGGCTGAAGGGCACCTCTCAGCTGAAACAAGAGAGTGTGGCAGCTATTTTCAGTTTACTGTAGTTGACCAAGTGCATTATCTGATTAAAGAATGCAATAAATGTACTTACCAAATATTTCCCCTCCACTGGCATACTCTGTCACCAGATAAATCATCCGCTCTGTCTCCATAACCTGCACACAAGGACAGAGAAGTGACACATAAGGAGACTGCAATGAGAAATAGATCTAAAACCACCTTTATTCTTTCTCTAACACATGGAACTGCTTCCATCAAATCCAAACTGTAACTTCCCCATGCTTTCCAGAGCCATGTGGAGAWAGGGACAGGAATGGGGGACAGKAAGGATGAAAYAGCAARTTCCAAACACTAAATCTGTAACTACACACAGCACTTCACCTGCACCTTCCTCCTCCTCTTCTGTTTCCCCTCCCTTTAGCATTTGCTCCCTGGTCTTGTCCTGTTCCAGCAGCCTGGGACACTTCTCAGAGCTGCTACCCTGCTCTTCTCCACCCTAAACAAAGCCAAGCCCTAAGTGTGATACCTATTTAGTATCGTATCAAAAGGTTTAGATGGAAAAGAACAAGTTTAAAAAGGTTTTTTGGCTAAAAAAAACCAAACGGTTTAAGGAGTCAGTTTGCAAAGAAGCACTCCCTGAGTACCCTGAAAATGCCACAGTCCCTGTAAGCATCTCACACATGGTTTGGCCTAAGAAGCTAAACATTAACCTCTGTCACTTCTACTCAGTTTTAACTCTTTGGAGTCCAAATACTCAGGAAACAGCATCCTTTATTCCTCTGCTGCCACCACTCTCCTCACACAGGGGCACCACCAGGTACCTGTGCATGGGCAGACCATGTGGGTTCTGCCTCTGGGGGTTTTGTTTGCAGACAAAAAAAAGTCAAACAAGCTGGAGAAAAAGTCTGCAAACAATACTCAAAAGCAAGTCTGCCACCRGTATTGATCTCCTTCCAGGAAAGGGCTGAGCAGATCACAGGGCCTGGGGGCCACAGGGAGCTGGGCAGGGAGGGCAGAGCTCAATCCTGCTCCTGGGTGAGATTTACTCCCTCCCTTAAAGTGAGAAGGGGAACCTGCATCCGGTTTCAACTGGGAAACTGAGAAGCACACAATGGCCATAAACAAGTGGCAGGAGGCCAGSCCACAGCGGAAGCACCACGGCCCAGAAAAGAGAAGGATTAGCTACACTTTCCCCCTGCCCCTCCAACCAAAGCATTTAGAGACCTTGAAAACATAAAAGACTTTCCCAGTTCCACGTAGAAGGAATGGAGGGATAACCCTGGAGAAAGTGCTGCTGCACAGAGAAAAGTCAAGGGATGGAAATTCCACTGCAGAGTGTGTTCCTACCTGGTACAACCTGATGATGTGTGGGTGGCAGAGCATCTTCATGATCTGAACTTCCCTAAATATCTTCTTCAGGTTCTCTTCATCCAGCTGAGTCTTATCGATGATCTTTATYGCAACCTGGCAGAGGGGAACAAAAGGGAAGTTACTGACCCAGCTGCATTATCCACAAATCTGCTCCCTGCACCAGGGCTGATAAACCCCAGCAGGRATGGGAATGGGGGTAGTGTCAGGCTTCTAACAATTGAGGTGTTTATTTATCTGTTTGAAACCAGAAGT